AGGGGAAAAAAACTCCAGAGAAGTTCCAGAGACAGGAAGTCTAGTCCTGCCAAGAATGTAAAAAGGGTTAATGGAGAGGCAGTTTCTGTAAGCAACACCAGAATGTTTCCTTCCTGCCTTCCTTACAGGATTAGGCCAGTAATTTCTTCTAACAACTGGTTCTCCGAACGGCTTAGAATGTTAACAACCAGTTCTAGCTAATAGGTACGAACCTGTAGAATCCTACCCCTGCTTATAGGGGAGATGGGCAGCATAAAAATTTAATAAATAAATAAATAATTTCACATTTAAGAAGTCCAGCTTGCCCTGTCCTTGGCATTTGATAACTGGAACCATGACAATTAGCAATAATATTTCCATGTACAGATTAAATGATTATAATGCTCAGATGACCCATGACTGAGTTACTGCAGATGCAAAAGTACTATGGAGAATTTCCAATGCTTTCCTTACGTTGTTAGCCACCAGAGTCAATGGCTGTGTTCCCATAATAAATTAAGCCATGCTTTGTTCTCTAAGCGTCAACTGATTGGCTTCACATATCATACAAAACCCAAAATGACAGTTTTATTAACCAGGGTGGCTGGATTCAGACAGTATTCCCAAGCCAAAACAATCTTTTGAGCCCCAATTTGTTGAATAAACCATTGTGACAGGTACAGACCTATTGTTGAGCTATAACAAATAGGTTTAAATTTCACTAGAAGGGTCTACGAGGGGATCAAAGTCTGAAGGACCATATTCTTGCAGATTTTTTTACCTCTTCTTCTCCTGTGGAGGCTGGTGCATCACACGCTAACAGAAGCAAAGAACATTATGCCATAGTGTGATATGGGAAGTAAGCCAAAAGCTCCATCAGCCTTCTCCTCCTTTTCAAACTGAACTAGAGGAGTAAAAACTTCGTGGGGTGCTTTGCATGGATGAATCTTAAAGTCCACATCCCCATGAAAGCATCTCTGTGCAATGCCGGGGTGCCCTCCTTCCAGCTGGGCTGCTGATGTGACAATAAAGTTCACCCAACAAAGCTAACTGAGTTCCAGTTAACACACCCAATGGAATCAAAACTCTGAGGCAGACATCTTCCTCAAAGTATAGATTTATTAGGCATGTCATATTGGCACATCTGCCGGAAACTTGACTCTGAAGGAGTTTTCCCCACCCAAATCAAACCCCAAAGTTCTTTAGTTTAGTTTACTTTATTGTCATTGTACCTCGTACAACAAAATCAAACACCATCTTCAGTGCACATCATGACCATGAAAATATACACAAAGACACATCCTTCACCCTTCACACATTGAACCGGAAACCCCCAACACCACACCAACATGTAAACAAGCTAAATTCACTACTAACATGGGCAACATCCTGCCCACACGCTTTTATCTTTCTTGGTGACTTCAATCTAACTCATATTAACTGGACCCTAAACGAATGTACAACTGAACCCATACATGCAACCTTCTACAATGCCGTTACAAATCTGGGACTGGAACAACTAGTAACCAACAACACTAGACTAAACAACTGCCTCGATCTCATCTTCTGCAATAGGTTGAATTTAATTTACGGAATACAAACTAAAGAACTGTTTTCCAACAGTGACCACAATATGATTGACTTTTGTCTCAACATATGCCCACACAAAAATCATCACAATGATGTAATCCCCAATTATAACTTCAAAAAAAGCAACTATGATCTTATAGACAACGATCTCTCATCCCTTGATTGGCAATCTCTATTCACTGGATGAAGACCATTACAACATATTTTTACTTGAAGTCAAAAGAGTCATCAAACTATACGTACCAACAACAACTCCCAAAACAAAAAAAACAGATTACCCATAACAATAAGGAAGCTTCAATCCAAAAAGAGACCACTCTGGCGGAAAAACAAATCTTGTCACATTGCCAACTTCAAAAGCCGATACAAAAATTTATGCCACCAGATAAAAACTGAATGCACCAATTATCACATTAAACAAGAGGAAAACCTTCTACGCACCAATTCCACCCACACTTTCTACAATTTTGCAAACAACAAACTAAAAGACTCAAGGTCCATTCCACCCCTGATAGGACCTAATGGTAAAGACTGCAATGACGACACCATTAAAGCCAACATCTTTAACACATTCTTTGGCTCAGGATATATAAACAGCAATGGATCATGCCCAGTATTTCCTAGCCAAACCACAGAAAACTACAATGATCTAATACATATCAATTTTACAGAAAACAATGTTGAAAAAAACACCATGCAGTCTAAAACCATCTCTATTATCTATTGGACCAGATGGAATATGTGCCTACTTCTTAAAAAAGCTATCCACTGCCATAGCCAAACCTCTAAGCATAATCTTTGAAAAATCTTTCAGGACCAGCTCCTTGCCTAACCTACGGTCACAAGCCACGGTCATCCCCATCTTCAAAAAGGGAGACCCCAGCCTAGTTGAAAATTACAGACAAATCTTCTTATCTGCGTCACCTGTAAAGTCATGGAATCAATTATTAACCAATCCATTATCCTCCACTTAGAGACAAACAACCTATTCTCCAATAAACAATTTGGTTTCAGAAAAAAACTATCCTGTAATCTGCAACTCTTACACTGCAAAAACATATGGACTATACAACTCGATCAGGGCAAAACAATAGACGCAATCTACATAGACTTCTGTAAAGCCTTTGTTTCAGTGGTACACGACAAGCTACTCCTAAAACTAAAATCTTATGGTATCTCTGGACAACTGCATAACTGGATAGAAGCATTCCTGGCAAACAGACAACAAATGGTCAAAATTGGGAGCGTCCTATCAAATTCTGTGCCTGTCAATAGTGGTGTTCCCCAAGGCAGTGTTCTAGGACCAACTCTCTTCATACTCTACATAAATGACCTCTGTGATCATATTAAGAGCAACTGCGTTCTTTTCACTGATGATGTAAAGCTGTTCAATACCACAGTCAATATTGCTACCCTTCAAAAAGATCTTGACTATGTATCAGAATGGTTAAACAAATGGCAACTTCAAATCTCAACAAATAAATGCTCTCTCCTACATACTGGCAAAAAAAATCAGAAAATAAAATACAAGCTGAATAGTCAAGACCTTGTTGATGATCCAAGCTCTGTAAAGGATTTGGAATACTCATCTCTAATGATCTAAGTGCTAGAGCCCACTGTAACTACATAGCCAAAAAGGCGTTAAGAGTTGTTAACCTAATCCTATGTAGCTTTTTCTCTGGTAATATCACACTACTAACTAGAGCATACAAAACATTTGCTAGACCAATACTCGAATACAGCTCATCAGTCTGGAACCCACATTACGTATTTGATATTAGCACAGTTGAGAAAGTCCAGAAATATTTCACAAGAAGAGTTCTCCATTCCTCTACTCGTTGTAGAATACCTTATGCCACCAGACTTGAAATTCTAGACCTAGAAAACCTTGAATTAAGCCGTCTTCAGTCTGATCTAAGTATGTGTATAAAATCATACATTGCAATGACTTACCTGTCAATACTTCAGCTTCAACCGTAACAACACAAGAGCACACAACAGATACAAACTCAAGGTTAACTGCACCATACTTGATTGCAGGAAATACGACTTCAGCAACAGAGTGGTCAATGTCTGGAATACTCTACCTGACTCTATGGTTTTTTTCCCCAAACCCCAAAAACTTTAACCTTAGACTGTCTACTATTGACCTCACCCCTTTCCTAAGAGGTCTGTAGAGGGTTTGCATGAGTGCACCAACGTGCCTACCGTCCCTGTCCTATTGTTTCTTTTATTTTTCTTATATGTACCCATTTCATGTATTCATAACTATGTATATACTTATACCTATTATCTTGTAAGCGATTGACAAATCAAAATAAATAATTAAAAAACCCACTGCACTATACAGCAGAATTCAAAAGAGTTACTGCCCTGGGACAGAAGCTGTTTTTCAGCCTATTTGTTCTTGTTTTTATTATTCTGTACCATCCGCCAGATAGTAATAGTTCAAAAAAAGGGTTCCCAGGATGAGATGGATCTTTGAGAATGTTTTGAACTTTCTTAAGGCAGCGGGAGCTATAAAGCTCTTCCA